CAAAAACCAAATTAGATATTTCTTTGGCTCTCTTGTGCCAGCCAAAACCAGTTTTCAGTAATCAATTATTGTKTTTTTTTTTATATTTTGCTTCAGCAAAAATTCCATTGCATACCATGCAGTCTTTCATAGCACGAAATGTGCGCATGTTTACATATTAACGTATATTCAACAAGCCAGCATAGTAAGTTTTCTGATTCYGTATATTAGAAATTGCGAAATATTTTAAAATGCGTCTCACGTTTCCAATGTTTCCATATTTTTTTTGTAAATAAATTTCAAAAATAATTTTAACATTCAATTGTGAATTTAATTAGTGGCGATTTTAATTAAATTAACGGAGCTTAGGCCCTTTTAAAGTTAAATATTATTGTAAGTGATAATAATAATAGAAAAATTACGAGACATTTCCATAAAACATGTTTCAGTATTTTTACATTTTAAATATTTGTATTATTCAAGTGAACTTTTTATTTTTTTTTTTGCATAAAATGTTTTCTTTTTTGACATCGAAATCACTTAATAATTTTGTTTTGAGATTTTTTTCAAATTTTTTTTTTTTTTTGTTTTGTTTTGTTTTGTTGTAAACAAATCACTGAAAATCATTCAAAATTCCATTATCTCAAACCCTTTTCRGTTTTATCAAACCAATTTCGATGTTTTACTGCTGAAAAACAACAACAGACAATAAATCTGTTTCTCCGTTAAAATTTTAAATTAGCTGCCTAAAACTTGTCACAAAAATATACAACAACAACAACAATAAGATTGCAAATAATGAAAAATTCATGCAGCATAAATTTTCTTGCGTTTCTTGCTAATTGCTGTATGAATTGGAAGAATAGGCGGCTAAAAGCCGAGAAGCATGCGTTACTTACTTATTTATTGTTTTTGTAACCTCAAACAGCKCATAATAATAAAAAATTATTGTATTTTCACTTTTTCGCAATTGTTTTAGTAAACTTTATGGCGAGCAGCACTTTCCAACTCAGGCAAAACAAGCGCCCAAAGCGATCATAAAAATTAATTGTGTAGCAACAACAACAACAAGAGAAGCATATAAAGACATAAGAAATATACAGAATTTAAAGTTAAGTGAACTAAAACTGACGGATTACATAAAAACTATTATAAAAAGTAAGAATAATAGCAACAAAAGGTAAAAGAAGAAAATAAAAGCCTTAAAAGTGATGACGTTAATAATAAATAAACATAATAATAATAAATGCACAAAAATCACTGTCCATAACACTTATTTACAATAACCATTTTTTGAACCATATCTAGCATAATTTACAAATATATTTCAAAGTACGCCGAAAACTTTTCACACAACGCCAAATTTGTTAAACTCAAGTGCCTACCATGTACGCAATATATTTACATGGAATTYTACTCGCAACAGAGATTATAAATTAATAAAGTCCAAGCTTCGCAAAATCATAAGAAAAGCGTAGCAATAAAACTCACAAGTTCAACTCAAAGTTCTTGTGACCGTTTAGGCGCTGAAGCAGTTAACAAAGAGTATTTGATTACCATAGTGCTAATTGAGTGAAGCTAAGTATATTTAGAGACAATAATGATCGTATTTGCGGAGTTGACAATGCTGTAAAAGTGAAAATATGAATTTGGAACTGAGCTTAAATAAAATTATGTAGAAAAGTTGTTTAGAAAGTAACGAAAATATATATTTTTTTAAAAGTTATTGTTTCCGCTATAATCTGTAAGTGTTTTTAAGCAACTGCGTGAAATTTTTTACATTGAATCAATTAAGATTTGAGTTKTATAAATTTTACTCAATTAATGTAGTTCCATTAAATGTATTTAAACAGACTTAACTATATTTATTAAATTGAGCCAATTAAGATTTGTGTTGTAACAAACTTACTCAATTAATTTTATTTTTTTTTTGTAATAAATTGAATTAAATTTATTTGAATTCAGTCAATTATGATTTAAGTTGTATAAATTTGACACAATTAATGTGATTAAATGAAGTGTTTTTTAATTAAATTGAACAAAATTTTTTTTCATTGAGTAAATATGGTTCAATTAAGTGTTTTAATTAATTGAGCTAAATTTATTTAAATTGAGTCAATTAAGATTTGAGCTGTAACACTCTTACCAAATTCTTTAGGTTTTCTTTTCCTTTGAACAAACTGTGCAGGCTTGCGCTATAGCTTTTGATTACATTTATTGTGAATTATCCACTAATTAGTTAAACGCTGCAAAGTCTGGTAAATTGAGAAAATGAAACGTGAAAACACTTAATTAATGGCATATGCCTAAATATCAATTAGAAGTTCCAAGCTTGCTTATATATTTTTTTTTTTTTTTTTTTTTTTTTTGAATTATAAAAATTAG